AGTTAGATCAGTGCAGGTTGTTTAGCAGCCCTGTAAAGGGGCTCAGAGATTGCAGTGATGAGATCTGAGGAGATGCATGTAAACCAAATAAGCAATCATTTTTTTACCTGTTTTTGTCCCCCTCCCCCATTGATCTACAAAACCAGCAATCCACGTGGTAACCTCGGAACTGGTGCCTGTATGAGAAACTGAATGTGGGTGGAAAGTGTTGATGTATTCGGAAAGACCATAATGAGAAACCTGATTTATCAGCACGTGGCTCACGGGCTTGCGTGTTTCCCTGTCTCAAATTAGTATGTCGTGAGAATTGAGGAGGGAGCAGTAGATATTTGCTTGATGTTTTTCCTTTGGGTGCTGCTGCTGTTTGAGTTTGCTGAGTATACGACAGATGGTTTCGGTGCAGTGTAAAGAAAATGAACAGACAAAACTTGGGTTATTGTAGAGCTGCGATTAAAAGGTTGTTTTGTATCCCGCAGGTCTCATAAATGACCACAAAAATGTTCACGGCAATGCCCCCGTGCCTCTGCCTTCCATGACTCTGAGGTGGAGAAATCCCCATCCACCTACCTTCAGCAGTCGGGGCGCATTCTCTGCAAGATATTCCCAGCAAGCCCCAGTGGATTTCCAGCAGCATCATGGTAACTTCTGGAGGAAAAAATACTCCCTTGTAAACAGACCACCTGGGCCAGCATCCCTTTCTGGAAGCGGTCTATCTGCTAGCTCATCCCAGGCTTCTGTGAGCCATGGGAACTGCCAGCCCCTTGGGTCACAGCCAGCGGCTTTGGAAAGGCATGTGGGCTTGACTACAAATGGTAACATAGTTGTTGGGATCAAATTGCCCCAGAGGACTAGCGCCGCTTTAGACAATAGAAGCACTGGTGAGCCAGGGTCTCTGCAAGGTTTGTCTGGGGTGAAAGAAGCTGGAGCTGCCGCAGAGGGTGCTAAAAGATTACATGGATTTTCTTATTCTCAAAACATTGACAAAGAAACATCTTTACCAGTCTCACATTGTTCAGTGCACCAGGCTCCTGTTACCGGCAGCCGGGACGATGCAAACGCAGTGTATCTCACAGGAAAGGGCAAAACGAGGACCACGAAACTGCCTGGCGATGCGACTAAAAGTGCCTCTGAGTTGTGTCGAACTATCAGTGAAAGTGCCACAGCGCTGAAATCTAAGCTTCTGCAGCCTTCAGCCCTGCCTGATCGAGAGGCAGGCTGGCTGTCATCAGGGAAGAAGTCGGAGCCCCAGTTTCCAGCTCAGTTTAGTTCAGAGCAAGTCGGAGCAGGAAGAGGTGGTTCGAAAGAGCCAAAGATTTTTGGACACGCGGAAGCTTTCACTAGTTATGCTCAGGCGGCCACTTCAGAGGCTGGTGCGGGCTCAGCTAAGATCAAATTTGTCATGCCGCTCAAGGCTCCCAGTCTCCAAAGACCTGTCTCGCCGGCAGCTTCTAGCAAAACTTTGAAGTTCAGAAAAACCAACTACACGTGGGTTGCAAACCCTGGCAAATGTCCCCGTGTTATGAGGAGGTGGACTAGCCCAAAGGCTCCTGAAAGTGGGAAGAAGCTTGCTTTTAGTGCAGAGCGAGCTGTGAAGGTTCTGCCAAAGGGGGACTTGGGAGCAAAGCAGAAGAAATCTGGATTGCATTCAAAACCCAATGCATCTCCTAGTAAATACAAATGGAAAGCATCCAGCTTGCAGTTCTCTCCTTCCACATCCAAGTCGACATTCACCTGGCAGTCTGGGACCCAGCAGGAGCCTGGAGTCTCTCAGCTCCCTAGAGCCGACTCAGGCCTTCAGACCCTAAACAATGCATCTGTTAGTCATGGTGGGTTGAAGCCTCCCTTTAATGATGCTGCATTTTCCACGTATAAAGTGAAGAGCCGGACCAAAATCATCAGAAGAAAGGGGAGTTCTGGGTAAGTCACTGGGTGTTTCTAGAATAAGTTTTGCTGCTGCACTAACCGTATTTGCTGTTCTAAGCTGTGTTCCTGCTTATAAAAGCACTAAAAATCCTTCCAGGGACTTTAATAGAAGCGTTGCTCTGCCCTTAATTATACAGTCAGCAATTTGGGGCTGCTCTGATGTGTGTACAGCATGGTCCCAGCCCATGCCTGCAGCTGCAAGGCTCTACTCCACTCCAGTAATCGGTGATAGTATTGCTGGTGTTTTTCCAAGCTCAGCATTTCTGGTTAGCATGGAAATGTGCTGCTTTCCAGGGGGCTGAGTGCTAAAACCTATGTGGTTTTGCTGGTCTGTCTAGTTCTGCCTTTAGTTCCCACAAACAAGTGCTGTTTTTCCTCCCTTCCACCACAACTACCTGCTCCTCCTCCAAAAAATGGTTGTATCAGCACTTGTAAAACCAGAGACAGTCATAAACAGCAATTAACAGTGGGGAGAAAGGAATCCAATAAGGAAACAGGCTCTATTTGGGGCTTTTAGAGCATCACTTAGATGCAGGTGATGGGGAACAGAGCAGAAAAAGTTGAATGAATTGTTGAATGCCTTTTGCTGCCTCTTGCACCAGACAGGTACCCAAACTCCATCTAGACACAGATGCTCTTGGGCAAGCAGGCAGCAGTTTCTTAGATGACCTTGCAAGATTTCTAGATAAGCTTGTGAGGTTTCCTCTGATCCTGTTAGGTTGGGCAGACCGGTGGCTGGGATGATGCAGTCAGGGATGATCCTTCCTTGAGCAGGGGGCTGGACTAGGTGACCTTGCAAGTTCCCTTCCAGCCCTACTTTCCTATGAGTGGTGTACAGCAGTGCGCTCCAGTGAGGGCAAGGGACATCGAGGCAAAAGTCTATTTGCTTGAAAAGAGTCAGAGTCATGATAGCATCTATGGTCTCTGGTCTTCTGAGTCTGGGCAGGACTTGCTTGTCTTTGCTGCTTTGTGCTGGCCCCCAGCATTATCTAAGCATCAGATTGAAACTGAGAAGGATCTGTGGTCCTGCTGCTTCTGGGGATGCCTTCGGGGAAGCACTTGTGGCAGGAACAGCACATGTGTTGGCTGTCCCCGCTGGGCCACAGCTGATGGGTGCTGTGCACAAAGGATAGGGTAGGAATGAAGGTAAATGGAAGGGAAGGCAAGGGGTGGGTGGAGGCACATGTACAGGAAGGAGGCATGGGCTGGTCAATTTGGTTGTGATCTCTACACCACCAGTTTTGTATTGCTTAAGCTGGTAGGGTGTGAAAGCCCGCCCCCCCCTAAGGCTTCATGATACCATGTTCCTGCTGGGATCAGGAGTGGCATCAGACCAAGAACACTTGGCAATCTGGGCTGAAGTGACTTGTTCAAGGCCATGTGATGATGAGACCAAGCCCAGCATAGGATGCTGGAACTCCTGGTTCTTATTCCCATGCTCCAGATGTTTTTTTCAGCTGCTTGCTATTTTCTTCCCTACTCTGCCTCAGAGCTGTCTCTGGAAAGAGGCAGAGAGCATGGGGTCACTTGACTTGTTTTTGTCTGTTTTGGCCTTTTCTAACGTCTTCCCAGCAGCAGCTATCACAAGAGATGAGGTATACATAGATGAGCTGGAATGTCAAATGACTCCTCCTTTATTTGTGCTTTGTCAGGTACTCCTCAAATAGCCCCCTCGCATGCACTTCTCAGTTCTGTGCATCTCCATTTCTCTTATCTAAGAAGGCAGCATGGTTCAGCGGATAAGGTATTAGACTGGGAGTCTGGGGACTCCGCTTTTTCTCCCAGCTCTTCTACTGCCTCACTGTGCCCAGTTGGAAATGCTTCTGTGATCCTCCCCTCCCCTCCCCTTTATTTCTCATCTGTTGTGTCCCTGCAGTTCCCCAGTTGATAAGAAGAACTCCTCCTCCCCCACCATGCCTCTGAAAAGTCCTAGCTATCTCAGGAAGAGAACCTGTGTGCGGGGGAAACCTTCTCCGATGTTGAAGAGAACTTCACCCAAAGGTCGGCTGGTGCAGATCACCAAGCACAGGCTATGCCGGCTGCCTGCCTCCAGAACACATGTCCCTGCCAAGGAAGGTAAGTGTGAGTCAGGGAAGTCCTGGCCTGGGCATGTGGTGGTAGCACTGGGGTGTTTCATAGAGGGAAGCAATTTCAGGGAGGGAGGTGGAACTTGTGCATCTTTCTCAGTGATGTGACTCTGCTGAGCACTCGTGGGGGAAAATTAAGAGGAAAAAGACAGAACAGCCTTGATTGGAATGAGAGCTTCATCCTACATTGAGGCTTTCACAAGAGTGCTCATCTCTTCTGAAACCTCTATCCAGGACCAGTTCTAATCAGCACCCGTTATAGACCTTCCCCTTTCATCCAAGTTACTGATTCTAGACAGTGAGTTCAAGACCAGTGTTTACTAAGACAAAATGTTATTTTTTTTGGTCCTTTAGATTTCACCGTGCATAGGTCTGGGTGCAACACTGAGTCATCCTGTGTGTTTTGTGAGGGATCCGATCCCTGACTGCGAGTGTATTGATAGGTCTGTACTCTGCATTCTTAAGACACCTTGTCAGCATGAAAACAACTGAAGCAGTGATTGATATCTTCTGCATTTAGATTACATCCTGCCCTTTTCTTCTAGCATCTTCTTGCTGTGTAGATCAGGACTAGGCAAAGAACCCTTCCTTTAAAGACCTTGAAGTCTAAACAGACTCATAGAAGTCGTGCCCTGCGAGGTCAGAAGACTGCAGGTTTCATGGGTCAGAATAGAGATGGTCTACATGGACTTAGACCACTGGTTCTCAGCCTTTTTTCATAGTTTCATAGTTTCTAGGGTCGGAAGGGACCTGAGAAGATCATCTAGTCCGATCCCCTGCCATGGCTAGTACCCATCTGTAAACATCAGTGGTCAGTCCTGACCCAGTGCCCCTCACTCCCAACCTGTTCCCCCCGCTACCCCCAATCCCCCAGCGTGTGGGGCAAGTAGTGGGTGTGTCGGGTATGGGGGACCCAAAGCAGCCCCTTGTGGATTTCCCACATTTTTCTCCTTTAAAAGAGAATCCATTTTTAAAGCCTGTTGATCCATTTATAAAGTTTGTCCACAACCCTTTCATATATTCTTGCGACCCATGGGTTGAGAGACACTGGACTAGATTTCATAGCTTCATAGTGAACAAGTGCTGGAGGGGAACTCAGAGGGGAGGTGAGGAACGTCATTTGTCTGACAGATACACAAAACTGTACAGTTCCTCTGTCATCAGTTGGAAAAAGTTGTATGCGTCTCTTGAGACCCTTCTTTTAACAGGATAAATCTACCTTTTAACTACACTGTGTTCCAGGTTAGGAGCCATGAGCAGAATACCTTCTTCTCTATTGGGATAAGAATAATCTCAAACCAGGATCTTACTAGGCTAATTTAAACATACTAGAAGGGTTGCTAAACAATTAAGGTTCAAAGAAAGCCTATTAGTGAAATCAGCCAGTGCCCCTGAGATCAAGTCGTGTTTGCTGAAAAGAGCTTTTTTTCTGTAGTGGCTAGGGTGGGAGTGTTGGGCCCAGCAGATGTAGTGATAGCTATGCATTTTTCTCTGCTCTGTAGTTAGTGTTCCTGTTTGATTAGTGACTGCCTAGTGAGATTCTGCAGGTACTGTGCACACCTTGTGCCACTTTGGGGCAGTTACTCTGTGCTTTATATGTTTTTTGTATGATTCAGGTTGTCAGGGGGCTGTCTCAGTGACTGGTTTTCAGAGCAGGAGGTCTCAAAACCAATCCGAGTGCTTCACCTGATTTCCGTAAATATGGAATGCGTGAGGCCTTGTGGCTCCAGTACAGGAGGGGGAGTTGGGAGAACTCGTTCTGCTGCTAATGACCTGTGTAACCTGCAGTGTGTGGCTTAACTCGGTTTCTTCCCCTGTGACATTACTGTAAGGTCCATTATTGGGGTGGGTGGTGGTAGTGCTTCTACAGTACTTTTTAGACTGTTGCCTGCAAACCATGATAGAGGTTCAACTTCTTTATTAGCAGCGAGACACAAATCTTGAGACTGGATCCCAGCATGCACTAGGGATCTGTGGGGTGTCATGGGGTGGGAAACAAGTGGCTGCATGTAGCTGGCTGGCATATGGGAGCATGGCCAATAAGCTAGTCTCTCTGCCGTTGCTAATCGCTTGAGTTTGGAGGGAGTGTTAATTCTCCAGGGTAACTCACAAGAACCATCTTAAAGCCAAAATCTTTTGGCCTACATTTTCTGGGAAGTGCATGTGTGGTTGTATAGTTTGGGTACAGAATTACATGGCCGTTGCAGTTTTTTCGCATAGCCGCATGTGTGTGTTGTCATTTGCATGTGCAGATGCTGCTGTTCTTAGGCAGACAAATAGGGCAGTGATTCAGGAGAGGGAGCAAGGATTATTGATGAGAAGAGCAGTTTCCTGCTAAAGTGTGATTTTTAAGAAGGGCCAAAAAGGGAAGAGATGTGGAAGTGTTTCTGTCCCGGGGGAAGACCTTTCTAGAGGCACTGAGGCAGTAAGCAAAAAAAACCCAAACACATGAAGCAGAGTGTGGGAAAGGAAGATGAAGGACAAATGAGATGCCTTGAGGTGGATTGTTGCGTTGCACTCGTTGTGAAGGTTCATGCTTGGCTTGATTTCCAGGGGTCAGGCAGTCGCTGTCCATTGGAGCAGCTTAGTTTCTGCCGGATGTGAATAAATCTATTGCATCTAAAGAAACTTGGAGGTTGCAGAGTTAGGATGTGACTTGACTGAAGGCATCCAGCCGGGGAAGGGAAATGGCCAGCAATGCATGGAGGCTGCATGTGCAATCAACATGTCTCTCTTGTGCTTGCATGGATTCTGGAAATGAAACTCAGCAAGGACAGCCAGAGGGCCTCTTTGGAAATGATCTCTGAAAGCAGAATGGAAAAAAGATGTGGGGGGTGTCTGTGGGAGTGTTTTTCCTCAGGTACAGGGATTTAGCCAAGGAGGAGAAACTGAAGCTGTTGGCAAGAGGCCAGGATTCAGGGAAAATCCCCATCAGAGCTGGTGTTTGGAGACAGCAGTTTAATGCTAGCTGCTAAGGTCTAGTCATAGGGACCCTAGAAATGTGAGGCAGGGAGACATCCTTAGAACAGATCCAGTATAAGCAAGCTAACATGAGGGTTAAGACTCCTGAGCTGTTGATCTAGCATGTTTCACCACAATGATGTTCTCTGTACAGAAAATTTTAAAAAATCCCCATTTCAAAAAAATATTGTTTGGGTACAACCTTTGAGGAGCTTTGCTGTCAAAGCTTTGGGAGACGCAGCCAGAGCTGTAAGAATAATTTGTATTTAAATGTGCATTACTCAAGGGTCTCCAAGCACTTCCTGGAGGTGAGGGGAAACCACTTGGCCAAACTGTTCTAGGGAGGAAGCAGTAGAAGTGGCAGTAAAACGTAGCTGCCCTTGCTGCTACATCAAGGTGTCATTTAGTGCTTCAGCTCTGGGAACCTAGGTTCAAACCCAGCTCTGGCTTGGTTGAACATGAGATGTACCTGAGGAATCCCATCGTCCCTAGCAGATGCATGTCCTTGTTGCAGAGGTATTGCGAGAGATGACTGCCGTGTCATTTTCTGCCTTGCTTGTACTCCTCTGCTAATGCTTGCACACAAGCTGTAAAGGGTGGAACTGGCTCTATTTGACGCTAAGGATCCCAACCTTCCGGCTGTGGTTTGCTGGATCATTCGCACTGGGGCAGTTATTCCTCTTTTCCACCTTTCCTCGGCTCCTGATTTCACCAGTGAGTACCCTGGCGTACAAGCGTTTTTCTTTGGACAGAGCAGCAGACAGCAGTACCTTCTCATCAGCACGGCAGGCGGAGGCTTTTGGCCCAGCATGTTAGCAGGGTGTTGTTTGTGCTGGATGTCCTTTCCCATAGCACATTCCTCTGAATTGCAGTTCAGCATTGTGCTTTCAGGGAAAATTTGTAATGGGCTTTTCAACCTGAGTGGTTGCTATATGCACGTGCCACCATTTTTTTTCAAAAGCTCCCAGTGAAAGCCTTGTGTTAGGATCCAGGCATTAGAAGTGGAATGGTGAGGCACCTGTGCACATCAAGACTGAATGGCCCAAATCCTTCTGAGGATTTCGGTGTCTCCTGGGAATCAGCTTAGCAGTTACCAGAGACCCATTTGTATTGGGCATGCATTTTAATATCCCAGTGGCCTGGTCTTCATTTTCTTATGGCAGTTGCATTTTCAATTGAAACCATGTAGACCTGCAGATGTGCAGGGTGATATTGAGGTGGCTCAAATCCGTCTTAAGGGAGATAGAAAAATAGGAACATAAAGCAGGTGAAAACACAGGAGTGGGGCTGAGTTTTCCAGAATGAAGCAGTCAGTACCATGCACTGGACTGGAACCCTGCCCTCTGAAACAGACCGCTTTGCAGGCTAGAAGAGAGGCTTTTCCCCTTCTAGCTTCTGACACTGCTCCCTAATTTTTCTCCTTCCTTTTTCACCAGGGAAGAATTTCTGTCCTTGAAACAGGGCTGCTGAGCAGGTATAGAATCCATTCATTTTTGAGATGGGAAAAGGCTCATGCGGATTTTTTTCTTTATCCCTCAGGCCATGCAGGATAACTCCCTGCAAGTGCATTTTCACATGCTTTGTTCCAACTTGCTTTGTACATCCCATGTGATGGAGCTCTTGCTTTGAGAAGGAAGGGGATGCCATTGTTCCAATAGATCTTCTGGCTTGGAAGGTACTGCTGGGTTCACAACTGTATCACTTCTCTAGAGCAGTGATTTTCAAATAGTGGTTCGCAGGCCACTAGGGATTCACAAACTATGTGTAAGGGGTCTATGAAAGATGACTGTGATCAATCAAAGGTATTTGAATACCCACACTTACCATTCATAGGGGTTTGCACCTCCATTCAAAATTTTTTAGGGGTCTGCTCTAGAGTGTCTTTCAGGTAACCAGAATAGTTCAAGGAGAGCTTGTCTGCATGTCTTCATGAGAATATTCTCCAAGCCACCAACACACTGATGTAGCCTGTAGCTGGGTCCTTGTCACCTCGTCTCCCCTTTCCTCCA